TTGAATATAACCAAGATATATATCTGGAACTAAAGCATGCCAATAATGAAACTAGGATCCTTATGGTGATGCAATATAGCCTGCAAACTATTTAATGCATAATACATACGTTTCATTCCATATAGTCAAATTTCATTTAACATTTTCAAACAAAAACAGTTCCTAAACTGATATATCATCAGGTTTCCAGAAATGTTCACAGCTTTCTTTCACAAACAGTTATTTTGAAAAATTCTGGGAGCTCAATTTTATGATAGACTCCCTGATTGAATACTGTTGGTCTATGTAACGTCTTCAAAAGACACACACACAAAAAAATAAATCAATTGTGAGAGGTTTCAGCGCTTCTCAAGCACTGACCAAACTTTTAGCTGAAACACCTTCCCTAAAAACCAGCACCAGTACAGTCACTCGGCAGGTCTTTGTGTTCTTCTCTTTATGCTACATGGAGCTTAACACTAATATTAAGCCCCCCTGGAGGTGGCCCACAGTGCTTCACAAGCTGGATGAAGACGAGCATAAAACCTCCAATAAACAGTTCTGTTCCAAACTGCCACAGCGAAAGTCTACAAAGAGTAAACAATGGTTGTTTTTCCAGGGTGAAGGTTTTACTTCACTGAGACAAAACTGTTCCTTTCTGATGACAGATACTGACGTTACGAGCAATGATAAGTAATTCCACGTGTTTGTATTTACACGAGACCACAAAGTTGATCATCTTATTGGCTGCAATTGGAAAACTTAATATCAAAGGTGACTTAAAACCTACTCAGGTGTTTTTCACTGTCCATGTGCCCTCGTTACATTGTATCCAAGTCTTTGTTAATGCTTAAGTTTGGTTTCGCAGTTCCTGTTGAGCATTTTTGTTTGTTTTAAGTGTCTCACTTACCACTATTTTATTGAATCAGAACATTTCAGTCCAACTGACCTTCATCAAGTACAAAACAATGTATTAGAAGCCATATAAAATGCATACAATACATCGTTTTGTACCTGATGAAGGTCAGTTAAAAGCAATGTGACTTATTATTGTAAAAATTCTTTCTCTCTCCTACGCATCTGTTGTTCATTCAGGTGTGCAGAGATTTTGAACCAGTTGTTTATTTTAAATGAAAATGGAGCCGTGACTCTTTCTAAATGCTACCTGACTGCTTCTTATTGACAAGAATGTGTCATATGTGCATTTTAATTTCAACAAATAGTGAAATGGAGACCAGAATTAAGGCTTTGACCACAACAGTTACGGAGCAGGCATCGATGACATCAAACACGACACTGATTAAAGCGATTTTTATTTCCTGTTGTGGACACAAACACGATCAGCTGCAGACACCACGAGGCATTCCTGTTATAATTCCTTGAAGTCTGCTTAAAGTCCGGCTGAAGGGCGTAGTTGCTGCGTTGTAAAGTAACATCTCTGTAGATGTCTGCGTGGAACCTTACGCTCAGCGTCTGACGATGAAAGCTGCATCACTCGGACCAGAGGGGATCCTAGCAGGTGTGCTGACAACACGCCCATAACTCAGACTGAGTATGCAAAGGGGGATTAATGTAGAGAGGGGGTTGCAAAGCAGCTTGCAGGTGCATCAGAAAAAGTAGTTGGGCTAAAGTAACTTATAATACTTCCTGTGTGGGATTTGCCTAATGCGTGCATAATAGGATATCAGCTGATCTACCAGGATTAAGAGGAGGTAAATCAGATAAAATGAGTCCTCAATTCAACTCTTACCCAAAGTGTCAGCTGTTAAAAAGTCAATTGTACAGGTCACTCATGCTCTTTTCTTCTTAAAGGACACATGAGGGCAACACATGGCACATTATATGTATATACTGGGGTACAGTGTTTTACCGACCGCACTGAACACACCGTCCAGATGTGTCTCTCCAAACTGAAGTTATATTACTCTTCTCTCGGTTAAGGAGCCAACACGCTTCACACCACCCGCTCTTCTTTTCAGAGCTTTGACTTCTCCTCGCGATAAACTCGCACACTCCTTATAAATGCATTGTTTTAAAGGCACCTCTCAAATGTGTAGACAGATAAATATTTGGAGGTGAATCATGGGTGAACGAGTAATGAGTCAGACGTGGCTCCTGTTATTGTCTTACGCTCGGTACCACCAGGGGAGACGATGTGGTGGTCTGCACGTGTGACTCCAGTTTTCCTTCTGTGGCGTCTTTAAAAGCAAAAACATCGCATGCGGTTCTTCGTTCCAGTCAGACGTTTGCATCGAGCGCTGCCGTGCCTCGGGTTAAGACATAAACTTAAACATTACATTAAAAAAAATGGCTTTCACGCACAGGACCTCACACACTCTATATGATCCTGAGCTTGGCATTGATATTGCCATGGGTTAATGCTTCTTGTGCCCAGTCTCAACAGACTGTAGTGGCACACACTGCTGTCTATGTTGTCCCAGAGATGGCAGCTGACAGCCTGTTTTAAGAGATTACAATGCTCCCCTGTAGAAAAGGTCTTAAAATTACATTTTAATTGAGGTTTGAGACTACTGGAGACACAGCAGTACCTTGTGCACACAAATATAATAATGTCGTCATGTATTAAGTCTGCAATTTCCAAGTTCCTTTTTTAACCGGGATATTTGAATTTATACGAACAGAATCTTTTTGTATACTCCTTTTCCTCTCTGTTTAGGAGGTGCAGTATTTGTTCTACTAACAAAAAGCAGGAAAAACCGGCCTGCTCTTAAACAGCATTTGGTTTATGTGGAAAAGGAGTTCAGATGTGTCATAATTATCTGCAAATCATCTGTCTTCACTTTCATATATAAATGTTTTCCAGGGCATGGGTGCTGTATTTGCATTAGTGCGGACAGAAATGGAGTTTGTGTGTGTGTCATCAGCTTTTTTCACAGCTGTTCCTCGAACTGAAGAGAGTCGGTATGGAGAAAACACTGTTGTGTGTTTTTCAGTGGCCTTTTGTCTGAGCTGTTTAGAAAAGCATCCAAATTTGTACAAAAAAAGCATCAGCAGCTGGTTTGGGAGACGGTTTGCTGGACCTTAGATCCCAGGAGATCGGTGGAGAAGGTGGAGAAGCGGAGATAGTGAGATTATGAAGCATCCCACTGCCCTGGACCAATAGACTGCAGCCTCGTTATCCTGGATTTGGGAAAGAGGATCGACATGAAGGACAAAGTGGCAGGTTAAAAAGCAAAAAGTAGATTTTAAAGGCTGATATGATAAAACCGCAGATGCAAAATAAAGGCTTAATATAAAAATAACTAAAATATAGAGTACACAGATAGACAGACTATACATAGAATGGACACCGGAGTAGACAGCCTGTTTTTAAATACGTGAGATATTTGGAAACACCTGAAATGTCAATAAAAGCAGAACCATGACAGTCTATGTGTTCAGGGAATTGCCAACAGACACAGAACAAAGCTCTTCTTCACCCCCTGTCAGCTCAGTGAGCCAAATTCTGTCCACTCTGCTTTGTACAGCATCTTTAGCTCGCCTTGGCATATAGTTCCTGTCTTGTACATTATGTATTTGCATATTTTTCATATTATTCAGGGTGTTCAACAAAAAAAACAAAACAAACAAACACAGACAAAAAAAGGTAACTGCCATGTTGGCAGGAAAAACATATCTAAAGGGCAAATAGGAAAAATCCAGAAACGCAGAGAGCCAGCAGGAGAAAACAAGGACTACACAAGACACAGAAGAAGGGAAGGGGTAATAAAGAACCAGTGGACTTAATCAGACACTAAATAAAGTGTCAAAAGAACAAACGAGGGAATTAAAACCCTCAAAAATCATGTGAGCACCTAAGCTTCAAAGTGAAATATTAAGTCAACTGAAAGAGGGACAAACTTAGATACAGACACAAGGGAACACAGAAAAAATAGCAACGGCAAAACAATAACTAAGGATACCAAACATCCAAGAATCAATATTCAGCCCCACAAAATAGAAAAAAAAAATAGGATAATAAGAGTAGAGCCATGAATATTTACAAAGACTATGACAACAAGCTTTTAGCATTGCACCACATTGCATTTCATTACACTTTGCATTATAAGTGTGAATGTATAAGAGATTACTGAATCTTTGGCTCCTTATATGTGTTAACAGTGAAAACAGTAGAAGATTTGATTATGAATTAAAATGGTTGTGGATTTGTGTGTGTGTGTGTGTGTGTGTGTGTGTGTGTGTGTGTGTGTGTGTGTGTGTGTGTCTGCATTCTCACCTAGAGGAAATGGAGCGAAATGGGCCTTTGGCTTTGCCCATTCAGGCTGATGTGTGTTTTCAGAGGGCAGGACTGGCCAGTGGGAGTGTATAAAAGCATATAAAAGAGGCTGCGGTGCTTTAAGTACCAGACTTGTATTTGTCTTTCTGTACATCTCTTTCTTCTCTTTAAGTGCTGCTGGTTTTTGCACAGTGCCTCCTCCATCATGCTGGCTCGAGCTCTGCTCCAGACTTCGCTGGTTCTCTGGTTGGCTCAGCAAACTCTGCAAGGCGGTAAGAAACTCACAGGACAAAGTCTAAAGTTTTATGAACTATTTTTCTCGGCCTTTTTTTTTTTCGATTTATAATGGTTTAGATCCATGAGCTTTAACATAAAAGTATTCATTCATGTTTTAATTATTGTGTTTGCTGCTTTAAAAAACATTACTTATAGGAATTGCACAAAGATTAATATAAGTCTAACTGGCATAATCCAACTTAATGTAAAGAAGTTACTAAATTTAGTTGGAAGAAAAATAATTTATGTTGATATTTAACATGATCTAAAGAAATGCTGCACAAAAATGCATTTTTATTTAGTCAAAATTGAATTCATTTTGTCTAGCGTCAAGATTAATTGTATCTTTAGCTGACAAATGAATTAGATCGTATCATATTTTGGTCCAAGTTAAAGTCCCCATGAATCAGCATCTTTAGTGAGTCCCTCTCACTCACTTGTTAGATCTCATCTCTTTGAGACTGAGGGGAGGACTGTATGGACTCTGGGCTCCAACAGCAGAGTCACCGCCAAGTTGCTTTGGTTTATATGATCTAATTTCACTGATTCAAAGGATGCAATGAAAAGGTGGCGTAAGCGGGCAAAATGTCACATCCAACTGTGAGAAGAACTAACAGGCTCCACACTGGCGCTGTATTTGATCTCGTGCTCTGGTCGCATCAGTGGATATCTGTCTGTCTCGCACCTTTAGTCCAATCAGGTTCCACTACTGATGTAATCCTCAACTGACATCTAAACTGTAATTCCCACAGTTTTAAGGTCATCTTTTGAGTCTCCTACATAGTGATAGTGTTGGCATAAAATTAAAAATTTAGATTGATAAAAACAAATAATGCTTTTGTTGAAGGACCTCTAATGTCCTTTAAAAAAAGTTCATGCAGTAAATCTGTGAAACAAATATGTTAACGTTTCCTAAATGCGCATCACTTCTTCACATATGCATATCATATTTTCCTTATCTGCATTTTTTAATCAGTTTCATAAAGTGAAAATAGCGAGGCGAAAATATCCCAATAGATATCCTGATATTTGTAGGTGAAATATTCATATCCTGTCAATAAAACATTTTGTAGTTGTTCTTTTTGTTTTTTGTACATATGTGGCTACAGACTCTCATCATCTTCACTCACTTTTATTATAAGTTAGATTCATTAGAAATATAAGTATAATTAATTATAAATCACAGATTTATTAACTAACACAACACAACAGTATTGTTACCATTACACTGTTTGGTGTTTGATAGGCTGTAACCATGGTGACGGTGAAAAACTGTTCAAATTTTTTTTAATGTTTCAGGGGTTAAACCTCAAAGTGTTTCCTGGGGGAGAGTGCTTCCAGCCAGAGGTATTTATATGTTTTTAAATAGTTTTTTAAGTTATTTCAATGTTTAATTCATGTTTTAAAAAAACAACAACACAAACTGTATATAAAAGATGGACAGCCACTGTGACATCATTCTGTGATTTTGAACTCCAAATGTCTTAAATCATCAGTATCGCTGCAATGCACAGACACATTTTATATGATAATTAGTGCTAAACAACAGACCAATAATAATTTAGCACAAAAAAATTGTCAAAACTCGCAAAAAATTGTCAGAATTTCTTGGAGAGTCTGTACCACAGCCCAGGTCATAATATTTGTCAGATAAATTCATTAAAAATGCTGCAAAAGGCACCAACAGTGTAAACATGATGGAGTTCAGTGACTCAAATTAGCGGCACTAAGGCCCATCGCTGGAAGCCACGCCCCTATGTGTTGGACGAGTTATAAAAAATTGATACAACTCTGTTACAAAGGGGCAAACTATCCATTTAGACCAAAAATAACAGGTTAAATACACTGTTTCCTTAAACTCTGAAATTTTCTTATGTGCCTTTAACTTTTCCCGGTTTTGTGTCTTTTTTTGTTTTGTTTTATTGAGGTGTGGGAATCGGCGGCATGAAACCTGGAGGTAAGTCTTTCATACAGCATACATTAGCAATGCTCTGGCTGATTTGTGTCTTTGGATGCACAAATGTACATATTGTAGTCTATTCCTTCGATGGGCATTAACTCTATGAGTGACTAGGGCTGCTAAATTATGGTAAAAATCTTAATGGCAATTACTTTGGTCAAAACTGTAATAGCTAAAGTAATATTTAAAAAAAAAGCAAAGTGTAAAATAATTTTTCTGTTTCCTCTCAGTTACTGGTGCCCTCGGAGCACTGGGTAGCCGATATGGCAACAAAGCAATGAAGACTGGAAGTAGGTTTAATCTGCTTGATTTTCTGCCTCTTATGTCTCTTTAACCATACAGAGGAGATATTTAAACTTTTACTTTGTTAAATATTTCAGTTGGACGTTATCCTGCAGCCCAGCTTGGTGTTGGTGAGCAAATCAAACATGCAAAAACAATTTCTCCTGTTTAAAAGGGATCCATCACACAGTTTTTAAAAATGTTTTTGACCATGGTATTACTTGGGATTTACTATGCACAGAAAGATTCTGTTGACGCACCTGGTGTAAAAACTATATTCTTTAACTATAACTTTAACTATATTCTGCATATGTATTATTTTCATTGTGCCCTCAGGAGGTTACAGATCTCTTGGATTAGGAGGAAGAGCAGGTCTGATGCAAGGTGGATATGGAAACCAGGGAGCCTATGGTACACGGTCAAACCCTCACAGCATACTTTTTCATTCTTTTCTCTTGGATGTGGTCAGTCTAGTTCATGAAATAAATAATAGTTTATTAAAAATGTATGATACATTTTCCCTGTGACTTTAGGTGCCAGTCTGGGCCCAGGAATGGGGCTGGGGGCTGGGCTCACAAACGGACTGGGACTGGGATTGGGCCAGGGAGGAAAACGTGGTAAGACTGATATATAAAGAAAGACTTAATAGGCCCTATTTATATATCTTCTTCTTTAGGGAGCCATTTACTTTACTTTGTGTTTTTGTTATTGGTTGTTATTTATTACTCGAAATAAATAACTGTGTGCTGTTTACATGTGTTACATATGTCACTGTTCTGATTTGCAAATTAGCTTAATCATTTTTTTTACTCTTATGATTCATCATAATTATCATATTAACAATGCGACCAATTATTTTCTCAGTACTTAAGATATTAATCCTCCCAGTGTGGTCTGGTGCAAGATTGGGGTTATTTTTAGTTGCGCTCACACCTAGCAGCAGAAATCTTGGCAGCCTGTATTGGATGCAAATCCTGGCAGAAAACCAAGAAGGCTAAGATGCAACCAGTTTTGTGAAAGGTTGAACTGCTACAACTCATGTCACACCTTTTTACAGATATTACACAGCAAGGATGAGGATGAATCTAACAAACGGTTGGATAGCAGCTGCAGGGATCTTTGTAAAGAAATATTAACTCTGTGTTTTTGTGACTTTTCAGCTTATGGTGCTGGCTTGGGAACACTTCCAGGTAAACACTTTTGTTTCCTTGTGCTGTATGCACAAATGAGAGTAAAGAAATTGGTTTAATAAACACAATAAGTTGGACCCTGTCAACCTGTCAGTGGACATGGTATATGGGGCAGACTGCATCTCAGCTAATGGATTATGTGTCCTTGTAGTATTGAGAGAAACCCAGGATGTCAGTGACGTAACCCCAGTGCTGATTTATTTAAAGATGAGCTGTTTTTGTTTCCTTGCCAGGATATGGATCTTTAGGGGGCATTGGCTATCTTGGAGCACGACCAGGTAAGTGAGGAACTATGTTTCATGTGATGTCCCGTTCTTTTAGCTTTGAACTGTTTTAGGCCTGTTGCCAGACTTGATGCAGAGGCATGCATAAACATCAGCCTTATCAAGCTGATCAGCAGAGATTGTTTCTCAGAAGCTGTCTTAATACATCATACAGTACAATAATAATACACCCACATCTGTGACACAAGCACTTTGCAGAGATTGTGTCTTTGCAAAGAAAAAAAACCTCCAAAACTGTAATACACTGGCCTGCAATGCTGCTGTTATCAGTGACATCTGCTTTATGGGTTTCACCCGTGCAGGTGTAAAATCTGTGGTGTTTCTGTGTAATCAGTCTGTCTTCATCTTTGCTGACTTGTGATTCACTGCTATTGATGTTGATTTCATGTCTTTATGTGCATGAAAACAGATCACCTGTATCTATTTTACTATCATCTGAAGCTGGTCTGTTTTATTTTGTGCGCACAGTTCATCGCGTCTATCGGCGTTTCATCTCGACTGCATGCTGCATGACTTCCTGGCTCTTTCAGCCTAGTGTTTCGAAACCAGATGTCATGAGAAAGCTCTGACTGAGATCACCCCATGCTCATTGGCTGATGACTTGCGGCTGACACGTTGTTAGCCAATGACTTGTCCTCGTTTGTGGTTGTTAGAACAGCAAGAATTTACTAATTAAAATACATGTTTTAGTCAGCAAGGGAGCAAATGAGTGAGGGCCATTTTCCCATAGACCTTTTTGTAACCCTACGCTTTTATGCAACCAGAAGCATCACTGCCAGGTATTAAAGGTTTTAGAAAGAGTGCAATTTTAAGACACTTCCACATTGGCTTCCTTCCCCTCCACCACTCCAGCCCCCACCTGTGGGCTACTTATTATTCCTTATGCTGCACACACGTGGTTTAAAGGCAAAATAAGAAATTACACTCACACTTTATTTGTTTTTTGCCTTTGAGACGTGTTTTAAAACTGTTTGGCGACTCTGGTTCTGGCTCATAGTAAATGTAAATATACTTGTAGTTTAAACACATATTATGAGTAAAACCTCACTTTAAGAATCAGAAAAACTTCAGTTGCTTTTGCTGTGGACTGCAGGCTTCTGCTTTCATGCCCACTCAGCTCCGTTGTTGTGTGTCATACACAGATGTTGCTCGAGTCAGGATATCCTTTTGTCTTGTGCTTGAACGCTGGTGTGTTTTTTTTGACATTTCAACAATTTGTGATGGAAACAATGTGTTGTCATGTCACGTTTTATGTGCTGGTGTCATTACTCTAAATGAATGTGTAAGTCTGTCTGAGTTCCCACTGATTCTATCCTTGGTTTGGTTCTGATTTTTCTGTGGATGCTCCGATTTATATTACAAACTTCAAAGAAAGGCTTGAAGTTTGCTGCTACAGTGTGCTGCTGGACCTCAAAGAAACACTGTTGTCTCTGAGGTGAGATGAAGTTGTGAATGCATGCTGATATCTCTCTGCCAGGTGTGTCTGCAGAACATTTGGTTGGACCTGAGATGGCCAGTCAGGGTCAAGCTGTTCAAGATCTTAAACGAGAAAAAATCAGAGGTCTAGACTCGTTTGGAAAGCAGGGCCGAATGCACGCACCTGAAATACCTGACATGAGGAAGGGCAGTACACTCCGCCCCACCACTCCTGAACTACATGCAGGAGAGGAGGTCAAAAGCTTTGATTCAACAGTCCAGTCATCGAGTCTTGGACACACAACACCTACTGATCAAGGACAAAGTAACCACCCTGCAATACCCAAAAGAAAGATGGCCCCAAATCATGAAGCCATTTTGGGAGCTGGAGGTCCGAGAAGACAACTGCCTGTTGATAAAGACAACATCCAAAGTCTTGGTTCTCATTCATCTCAGAGTACCCGAGACTATGATTCATCCAAACGTGAAAATCAGCGAGTGGAAAACTGTGGATCCCCTATTAATTTGTCTGATGTACTAGAAAACAATCGCTTAGGTTCAGGAATTCAAAAGGGTCAAAGTTCAGTGGCTCAGCCGCATGTTGGTGAAGAACTCAGACATCTTGGTAGCACGACGTCACAAAAAGAAAAAGACGAAACCTCTCGACTACCTTTTTCAGAAGCTGAGGATGTAAGAAGACGTATTTACGCGACTCCACTGGATCAGAGAATAAGAGATTATTTCTCTGCTGTGGCAGACAGGCAGCGCGCCAAAGGACTTTTAGCTGAAAACGCAAATGGAATCAGAATCCGTGGGACTGTTACGGTACAAGATGGCAGATATAGTACTGGAGGAAGGCGCTATGGAGCAGTGATCCCAGGTACTAGTGGAACCCTAAGTGTAGGCAGTGCCTCTAATAGAGCAGATGGACAGGAAGCTCCAGGCTTTATTGGAGACGATCAGAGTGCTAAACAGAATTCCCAAACTGAACATGATGTCAAAAAGCCAAAAGCCCTCCCTATCCCAGGGCAGACTGGGAGGAATGCCCAGACTCCAAGTAAGAGCAAAGCTTTTTCACCATCTAAATGTCTTTTTTGATTCATATCTGTCTGTCTGTGGTCCGTTCTTGAGATTTTTGAGAAACAATTTCATATTTCTGAGACTGGCTTTCAGATTGTTGTTTGTGTGATGTCGATGCTTTTAAACAGACTTTAGTTTCCTCCACTAGTTGGCATTGAGACTTTTGCTGTACTAGTCAAACAAAACACTTTACCAAGTCAGTCTTTTAAACTAGTGACTCTAATTGCCAGTATAGTTCTGCCAAAATCCAAGTTCAAATGTTTTGGCTTAAAAAAGTTGAACTAGTCAAACAAAAGAAGCACTTTTGAAAGGTTTTCCCTCTTCTAATGTGACCAGATGTCCAATTCATGCTGAAAAACTAGCAGCAGAGCTGTTTTCACCCAAGTTACACCTAAATAGTTCATGCGTTATGATTGAGTAGCCAAGTGTATGCAACCACAAACTATCAAAGCTATTTAATGATGGTCAAACCCTGCATGAAAGCAGTCAAGCTTTAGCCAGAAAACATTTTCTCAACTAAAAGTGTCGTTTTTTTCAGATGCTCATATTTAGTTTGCAAATTAACCAAAAAATACATAAACAAATTAAACTGCATTATATATAACACACAATAATTACATATTAACATTAGGGGTGCAACGATACTCGTATCGATATTGAACCGTTCGATACAGTGCTTTCGGTTCGGTAAGCATATGTATCGAACAATACAAAATTTTTAATTTATTTTATCAACTTTTCTTCTGACGATGCTGTCTGTGTTGAGCGCTCAGTGGATCTGCGTTCGACTACTCCGCCTAGGCTGCACTGTCGAGCGCAGATCCACTGGGAGTGTAAGCTAGCAAGACAGAAGCTAAGCAACATAGCAAATTGAACCTCCCCCACCCTCATTCAGATCTGGCGTTTGAAACTAATTTGGTCTTCATGTGAAGTATGACCCTGAAGGTAAGCGCATCATGGAC